GCCGCACGACCTCGAAGTAGATGACGATGTTGTTCCGCAGCACCCCTTGCTCGACCGAGTAGTTCCCTGGCTTGCTGTGACTGCTCACCCTGTAGGTTGAAGTCAAGGCCAAGGACTTTCAAAGATTCGTGCGCCGGTGCAATCTGGAAGATGTCGCCCCCAACTTTGGCCCGACGAGCACCCCTGTAATGTTCGCTCGCTACAATTTTCGTCTTGTTGGTCGCGAGTTTGAGCCCAGCTTGCTCCAAGAGTCTCTCGAGCACTTTGATACGCTTGCAGAGGCGAACGAAATCATCTTCGAAGAGAAACAGGTCGTCCTGGTAAAAGACGAGATCGATTTCAAGCCCACCCCCAATGTGCCCAAAGTTTCTCCATCCCCTGGATTCAAGTAGTCTCATGAGGAGGGTGTCCATAACTAAGCCAAACAGCTCGGCACTTTCTGGTGCACCCTGTTTTATGCCCACGTTCGGCTTGATGTGGATGGTCCCTCCACCCGGCACTTTTCCTGACAGGCAATATGAGCGAAGTTGAGCCAAGAGGTAGCGAAGTTCATGCGGCAGAGTGGTGCCATTCAGATGTGCTTTGAGAAATTCCACCACCTTAAGCCTGTCCAACCTGTCGAAGGCGCCTGAGATGTCCAGCTTACATAGCAGAAAGGGAAGCCTCCATTCTTGAACCACATCTCGAACCCTAGAAACGCAGCCTATGACGTCCGCAGCTTGTCTTCCTTTTCCACAACCTGAACATCTCGACCCAGTTCGTAGAAGAGGCATGGTCCGGAAGCATACCAATTTGGTGACAAGCTTGTGGAAAACACTGCTGACACATATCGGTCTCATGTCCTTGGGTGCCTTGGGTTGGTTGATCTTTGCCAACAGTGCCAGGAAGTTCTCGTTCCAGCTGGAGGGAATTTCGGTGTGCTCAACGATGCCATTGATGAGGTTCACCATCTGTGGGCCGAGGGTATCATTGTTGGCGATTTCCTTCAGCAGCGAGACACTCACCCCATCCGGTCCGACGGCTCCTGAAGGTTTCATGTCTTGGAGAACGGTCCGAACATCCAGGATGGTGAAGGGTACAAAGATGTCACCCAAGTCGACATTGTTAATGTGGGTCTCCAGCATCTCATCCCAGTCCATCATCGCCTCGTTGACCAGCTTCGCCTCGAGGTGCTCCTGAACGTCCTTTGTCAAGTCGGCTGAGCTTCGATCCTGTAGAAGGCCACCCCACCAACCCCGGTGTCTCTGCTTCTCCTTCTGCATGGCGCGGTACTGTGACCAGTCTCCATTGAGAATGGAGGTCACTCGAGCATCTTGCCACTCCTTGCGTTTAAGCTTTCTAAGCTTGTGCGCGGCCTTCCAGAGTTTGGTGTCACACTTCACCCTTCTGGCCTCATGGAAGGCTTGCTTGACCTCATCATCATCCTTGTAGGCCTTGCTGCTCCGAGGCGCAGTGCGCGTTTTCGCCAGGTGGGCAATGTCCTCCGCGTGCTCGATAACGTCATCCGGAAGCTGCCGACTTACCCACCTTGGCCTGGAATCGTTCCCCCACTCTACCCGAGCACGTTGGTTGACAAGTAAGTCAAAGGCAATGAGGGCATGATCTGTTCCTATGAGAAAGCGACGATCCGGTTCCACAACCACTCGTGTAGCATCCAGGGACCTCACCCACAGCATGTCGATTTGCCTGCCACGTCTTGATTCATCCCTGGGGAAATGTGTGGGCGTGTGAAGGTGTGCGGCAGTGGGCATGACCGGCCTCATACCCAGGGTTGCGGCTTGGTCCACAACGGTGTTAAGGTTGGAGGATCCCGACGCAATCACTTCCACGCCCGGCACCACCTCATCGTCATCTGCTTCAACCCAAGTTGGGACCTCATTCGCATCCATGCCACAAACGAGAGGGTACTGTCTCCATGAGGAAGGGCACGATCTTATAAATTCGGTGAGCGTCGCCTGATACTTTGCATTCGTGACTCCGGTCAGGCAGTGCAGAGAGCCAATCACCACCCTACCAATTCCCAGCACTCTCGCAAGGACCCAAATTCCCCGTTTGGTAGCGCACTTGTTGATGACGCAGTCAAACTTGTCCGTCGAGATTCCAATGCCGAGTCCTCGCCACATGTCTTTGTCCCTGTATGACGTCCATTGAAAATACTCTCCATCTTCAGTTTGCCATCCTTCCTCACCCCTGGCAATCTCCTGAACGATAACAATGTCCATGTCTGCAGCGGCCATGTCGAGCAATTTTATCTCCTGGCCTGCAAGGTTCCACTGTGCAATTCTCCCCCATCTATGTTTTCCACACCGAGGGAGAGAGAAAGTCGTCCCCAAGGAAGCAGCCTTAAGCGAACTCCCCAGCCCATCAGTTCGATGTCGCCGTCGAGGAGACTCCGGGGTGAAACATGGCCCCGAACCATGTCAGAGCTCTCTTTCAAACGCCGACTTGGCCACGTCGACGTTGCACCCAGCCACCAGAGAGACGGCATCCAATTTCACCCAGCCACCAGTCATCTTCACGATTTCGGCTTCATGCGGAGGACGGTGCGTACTGGACCCCAGCTTCTGTGGCCCGCACCAGAGGGTGCCGGCCCCCCAATCCATGTCGTAAGACACCACCAGTGTATGGTCAATGTTGAGCACGCCACCACCCTCATCCTTCACCTCCGCGGCCAACGCCATTGTCACCCTCCTGATCATGCTGATGTGCGCGGTCCTCGTCCTCGCTGTGCGGGTTTTAACAAAGGCCACCCACGCGGTGCGGTTTTCTCCAAGGTTTTGGGTGCTGGCAAAGACGATCTTGGCCTTCGCAACAATCTTGATCACCTGCCACATTCGCTCCTTGACATCCTTCATCGTTTCACCCTCCCTCTCCGTGAAGCGAATCATCCCGACGCTCCTCCGAGGCCCGAACACAGAGATCTTGTCGGTGTCAAGTAGCGGCGCTACCTCAGGAAGTTTCAGCACGTCGTTCGCCTCAGTCTCTATGACCGATCTCCTTGTATCCTGCATCCACCCCCCGACGATCAAGGTTTTCTGGTCCTCAGGCGAGAGAGCATCAGGATCACCCCGGGCTGATCCAAGAACATCACCCCCCTTGTGGATCTTGCGGTCCTTGTTGACGACCATGTGGCAACGAGAAAGGGCCAGCCTGTACTCTGCGGTTCCTGAGATAGTCACCCCACGGATCGGCCTGTGGCTGGGGTTCGTTCTGGGGAAGGCTTTTGTCGTTGCGTGCACTCTTTTCTTCGAGTTGAACTTTGAGCTTCTTCACGTCCTCCGTGAGCGCCTCCAGCTTGGGCTGAAATTGGTCTTGGTGTTTTTTGATCCCCTGTACCTCCTTCTCTGTGATCTTAATCCTGCCAGCCATGGACGCCATTTCACCCACCTGTTTGCTTTGCTGAGTCTCGATGTTGCCCAGCCTGTTTTCAAAAGTCTTCCAAGCGTCCTTCATGTCTTGCGCGTGTAATTG